GGTTTGCTGTCCCAGAGAGAATTATTTACACTCTGCAGAGAGGTGCAGAAGCATCACTGACAGACAGCACAAAAACCACCTGTCCTGTACGCCTGCTTCTCAGAAACATGTCCTCCCAAAACAGCAGGTGCTACTGGAAGACTAAAGACTGGAATTTGTTAGTGTTTTGGAGTCTTCCACCATGTGTTCACAAACCACAATGCAGACTTGGACAGCAACAGATGGGAAGTGTTCCACATTCACCAGGTGCTCTGCATCGCTGTGGAGTCAGCCACACTGCCTGTGTCCAGTTACTGAACTGGCATTCCTACCACTGCCACTATTAGAAACTGAAGCATCGAGTGCTACAGGATGTTCTACAGCTTTTGGGACCCTCCATCTGTGACTGGTATTTTTTGCTCTTGGCTACAATCCACAGACACACGTCCTGCAACCACCACAGTCCCAAAGTTCTCATCATCCAGAGGAAGAAGAGTCAGGGAAGGGAAACTGAGTCACAGAAGAATGTCACAGCTTATTAATGGAGAAAATAGTATGTTTCTAACAGTAGCAGAAAAGGAAACACTTAGAATTATCAAAATATTTACAGCAGTCTCCCTTCTTTCCCATATCCAGTATATTGAAAAAAAGGCTTGTCCCTATTTTCTTCTGCTTCATGAACACTCATTAAAGTATAAAGAAGTACAAAGAAAAAAGACTCCCAGATAGCACACTATGAGGCTAATTGACTGGTTTGAACTGCTCATTTTTCCCCATCCCTCACATCTTGAGAAGTCACAGCAGTAATATTAAAAGCAGCAGCTGGAAAAACCTGATCAATGAGCCCTTAAAAGAAAATTCAGATAGATACAGCAGAGGCAGTCATAATGAACCAAGGCCCTACAAGTCCCTGACCCTGCTGAAACATCCAGGAATCTAGTTCTTGATGTGTAGAGGAAACAAAGGTACTTACATTATTTGTTTTCCAGCTTGCTTCCTACCAGTCCCCTAGCACTGCTGAAATCCTTTGTCATACATCATACATGGTCCTGACTCAGAAAAACCTGGTCAGAAGGCAGCCTTTCATAGGGGTGAGGATCTCAGTGTCAGAATCACTGCATCCTGACACGCTGCTGCTGGTCAGGCCCACTCTGGGCAACACAGTTCTGGCCATGTTTTTTCCCTCTTGGTTTTTTTACTTGGAGCAATTGCTTTCATGAAAGCCTATTTCACTTCTACACATCCTTCTCCATGTCCTCCTTCCACTGTCTTCTCACCTCTTGCATGAAAACCCAATTTAGAAATTGAACAATACTGAGAAGTTCAGATGCAAACATGGTCTACCAGGACAATTCACTGCAGGCTGGTCCTGGCACTCATCTTCCCAGGAAACCCTGGTCCCCACCACAGCCATGGGCAGCACCTGCAGGAGGCACAGGGTGTCCTCACACATCAGTCTTGCTGTACACACAGTGTAAATCCAGTGCTTCCCGATGTGCCAAATACACTGGCTGCAACCACACATCCTCAAAATGGTCCAACTGACTGCAGAGCACAGCTGGGAAAGGCTGTTCCATATGGACCTTCTTTAGGGGTCTTTGTGTCATTAGAGATCAGACATAAAGGACTTAAATGACTCAGAGGATCACTGAAAGAGACACATGTCAGAAAAGGGGCATTTTAATTCTTTTGCTTCCATCCATTCCCACGGATGACAGCAACTCATTTGCACAAACTAAAATAAAATAGAGAATTCAAAAATTTTTCTTAAAAATTATTCCCTTTCAAGTACTCTGCAATTGTTATTGTGAAGAGAAACAAAATCATGATGAAAGCAAGCAAATTCCAAGCTAATAAACGTGGGCAATCCTTCAGTTATGAATTCTTGTAAAACACAGGAGGGGCTGGGAGGGTATCCATGTTTTGGCATCACAGGACAGAAAACTGGAACAAAGAATGTAACTGTAGAAATGGAGATATCTAAATCTTAAGAGACTCTATAAAATACAAAGCTCAAAATGAGCTGCTAACCACAGAAAGCCTTTTTTTTAGTAAGATGATTTAGAATACGAGACAAAGAAAGGACACTCCTGGATTGAAAATGGATAAACATCAGCTACCAATGGCCAAAAATAAGTGTCAATAACCCAAACCAACCATCAAAAACATTGCATGCACCCAGTTCCTACAAAGATCAATTAAATACTTCCTCGTGGCAAGTGAGCTTCAATAGGTCCCAAGATTTTATTATTGCTATTCCCAACCTCAGCTGAAGTTTTCAAGGCCTCCTGCTTCACTAAAAAACACAGACTGTAGTAAAAGTAACTGAAAGCCCAATAAGCTTTGCATTTTCTCTAAACCACTGCAGAGACCTCCTACATCAGAGTGACAGCCTTCAATCACCCCAAACACTACATCTCTGTTGAAGTTCTGTAACAGCTAGAATAAGAAATTATTTTCTTGTATTAGAATATTTCTATTTCTAGAATTAATGGCAAGTAACTCAAAATACAACAGTACACTAAGATTTGTTTTAAAATAAACTATTAGATTTTTATCTACATCCTTCTGTCCTTCTGCATCCTTCTACATTCTTCTGATGGATATCTTCAAAGAGCACAAGGTACAAAGTAATGCAGAGTTCACTGAATAGTCATTACAGTATTTTCTGCATTACTGCTGACATCTTGCTTTTTACAGCTTTATGGGGGGGTTGTATTAAAAATAAGCTGTTCAAACAATTAACATTTTTTCTCTTTCAAAGCAGATAAACTCTAATTATGATTTTGTTTTCTAAATCACAGCTATCAACACTGCTTGTCCCAACTCTTCGGCAAAGTTACAGGACTGCAGGAAACACAGTGCACTCAAAAGCTGCTGGCCTTGGAGCACACAGAAGCAATCTCCACTATTCAGAGACTATTTTGTGCTCCCTTACTTGTAATGGTGGCTTAAACATGTTTAGCCCTTAACATTACATACTAAAGACAAAGGCTTAGAGCCTCAAAGGGGTTTACACAACTTTAATCTCCTAGTCCCCCACTTGGCATTGTGTGTCTGGGCTGGCACTAAGCAGAAGCCCATGGAGGCTATGCATTAATTGCTGTGCAAACAAAAAGAGCAGGTCACAGGTTCGAAACAGATGAAGGAAGGCTCTTAAAGCATGGAACCTTCGGGCACAAGGTGCTGGGCAAGATAAAACCTTGTGCCTTGAAGTTCTCTAAGCTCTACTCTCTGTCCAGCTTGAGCCAGACCAAAAAAAAAAAAAAAACAAGAGCCAAGAGCTTTTGGCCTTGCACTTCAGTGAAGGCAAAGAACTTTGCCCTCAATGCTCCTCTTAAATCAGGAAACTACAGCCCTACCACCAAAGCTCTGCATCAGGGCTGGCTTTTTTCAGACCCCCCATCAGCTGTTCACAGCCCTCATCCCTCTTGCAACTGCAGATGCATCATGCACTTTCTTCCTTAACAGAGCAAAGAAACAGCAAACAAACAAAGCTGAGACACTTGCATGTATAGGCACATTTTGCCCTCAACACCAGTGAGAGAGGTACATACAGAAGACACAGCTACTCACATCCGCATCTTTCTTACCAGTCAAAAGAGCCCTTCAGTTTTGCCAACATACAAGGAAATGAGTCTTCCCAGCTTCCTCAGCCTGGTTTCTGGCTGATCTGTCCTCATTCTTACTGAGAAAAGGTATTTCACTCTCCCTTTCTGCTTCCCTTCTTTCAAAACATTATGGAACTCTAGGTAACTATTCCTAGCTATCAAATTCCCAGTTGGATGATCTGACAATCAGTGACAATATAATGTAGTTTTCCCATTACAAGCAGGCTCTGCCCTATTAGCTGTGTCCTTATAATCAGATCTATCACAAAAGTACACGCAATTGATGTATTTAGAAATTTTATCAGGAGCACACACACACGAAACCACCTAAAAATACCAAAATACCATTATGGACATACTTCATTCAAAACGTCAGTTTTCAGTGCTATTAACCTAAATTAATTTTGACAACAGGATAAATAGATTAATACTGCTTCTCCCCAATCCCACAGATTCTCTTCTTCCAGTATCAAGTCATTAGTACAGTACCTGGATAGACTTCTTGTTTGTTGTTTACAGTGACTGGTGAAACACAGATGATAATGTAGCTGCTTAAACCCTGATTCATCCTCTGACCCAAGCTCATTAGAGAATAAAGCTGAAAATTCTGGGATGAGAAACTTAGAACCTACTCTTCCCAGGATGTCAATATTGCAGCTACATTTTCCCTTTATTTTATTATATATTCCCAGAGAATTTCCTTTATTATATTATATATTCCCAGAGAAGACATCTTCTGTTGCTTCATGAAAAAACATTTACAAACTGACCAGAGAGCACTAAAAGAAACACTTATTTTCCAAATATGCACATTTTTTATCCACAGTGCAGGTTTTTGTCAAACTTCCTGCTCACACAGGGTGAGCAGACAAAGGAAAATATTAAATATATGTCAATATAGTGCAATCACAATGCTGTAGTCTTTTAAGCCTATCCTATTAATATATATCTATTCAGATCTGTAAATACTTTTTTAAGATTTATTTATTTTAGCTGTAGATACTGGAGGTCCTTATATAAGGAAAAGAAGGAGAACATTTAGTTAAAACGTTTTGCTCTTGCAAATGAACCTAAACCTACAAAGCGACACAATGTGTTTACAGAACAGCAGAGAGATCAAATTTAAAAGAAATGCTTGCTTGCAAAACATTTTGAATACCATGAGTCTGCTCACCATAAAGCACATTTTTCTTTACCAAAATTCATTGTTTTAACTTGTGTGCAATCAAGTCACATGCATGTCATGTAAGATGACACAGGACTCATTCAGAGGATGTAGCTTTATGTGCAAGAACCAAACATGGCATCACTTGTTTCAGCCCCCAGTGCTGACATCTCTCCAACATCAGCAATAAAGTTGTAACAGGCAACACAAACTACCTCAAAACATAAAAATCAAGTTATACTCACTGTAATTTGGGAAGCATCCATGAATTGCAGGCCAAAGTAATCCGTTTCTACAAGGTCCAAATGATACACAATCTGGTCAAACAACTCCTGTCCCTTTGCATTTTTCTGTAACAGAAAAGAGAATGCCTGTTTTAAAACTGGCCAGTGTGGGTTTTTTTGGGTGTGTTTCTTTTCAAGTTCAAACGTGTGAGAAGAGGAAAGGAAAATAATATCAGAAGAGCAATTCTATTTATTCTGAAGAATTGCATTGTCATTTCTTTTTATTTTTCTCAGAAAACAGTGTGACATGCCGTTCTTGTCTACAGCTATTCCAACAGCATCAGATTTCATTCTATTTATTCTGAAGAATTGCATTGTCATTTCTTTTTATTTTTCTCTGAAAACAGAGTGTGACATGCTGTTCTTGTCTGCAGCTATTCCAACAGCATCAGATTTTACTCTCAAAGCAAGATTTCAAAGTTCATCATAATTAAAAACGTGCAAGAGAAAGGGAAGGCTTATGCCCTACAAGTGTCCTAAGTCACAGAGCCATCATTTTGCACCCCAGGAAGTCAGATTCTCCAGGAAAAGCTTGCTTAACATACACCGCCTGAAATCTGCTGGCTATCAACAGCAACTGCAGTCATGCAGTGCCACACCACCACTGCAGCTGCAAAATAAATTCTGGACAGCCTGAACACTCGAAGAGCATTGTGAAGAAAATTAATGGGATTTGATAAGATTTCCTTTATGTTGCCAGTTGCCATCATATTTACAACCTTTAAATGAAGAAACAAACAAGGACCAAAAAAGCTGTATATCTTACTTGGCACGCCGTCTGAAACGTGCAGGCACGGAAATAAAAGTTAACAACTAAAACCCCAATTATGGCCTACAGGTAAGGGTAGAAAACTTAGCAGATTCTTAAAGGTAGGCTGCATTGGCCTGGGTACTTGTTTTGAGGTTAAGGCAAGAATTTAGGTACTCAATCTTCAACACAAGAAAATCAAAGTTTGAAGATTATAGATAGGCTGAAGGAAAAGGCAATAACAAACCAATTTTTTTTTTTTTTTTTGTTGAGCTACTTGGAAAATAAAGTTTTTTTTTTTTTTTTTTTTTTTTTTTTTTTTTTTTTTCTGTTGAGCTACTTGGAAAAGAAAGTTTTCAAGTTCTTGAGCAAAATCACCCCTTGGCCAAAAATACAAGATGATCATAAATCTGAGTAAGAGACTGAAGCTAGAGCTGTACTTTTTACAGGGAAGTACTGATCAGGATCCACCTTTGTGACTGCTGTCCCTCTTACAACTTTAAGAATTTTTTTTAAAAAAATTATTTTTTAAAACTAACATATTATGCATTTCCACTTTACCCCAAAATTCACAGTTAAGCATTCAGTTCCTTTAGTTTGGTCTTCTGCACAAAGGCACCATCAATCATAACATGCAGAACTCCTGTTCAGGGTTCTAGACTGCATAACATCAGTTTTCTTCAGTAACAGACAAGATAAGGAGTTTAAGATAACAGAGTAAAAACCTCTGTTTTTCCAAGAAAGTCAAGCAAGCTCAGGAATAGGCAGAAAATTTTATTTAAGTTGTATTTTTTAGGGTTTTTTAACTAACATAACAGAAGCACAGAAATTGAATCATATCAAATTTCAAGAGTGGAATTAAAGCTTCATAAAAGCTTTATGCCAACATTAAACTGTCATTGTAAGATACTGTTTCATTATTTTGAAGGGGGCAAGAGGAGGATAATAGACATTATTAACCGAAGTTCAACATTCTATTAAAAGTAGATGAGAATACAATGGCTTCTTCAAACAGTACATTGCTAAGATGTCATCATCTTTACTTGTACAGCAATTGTTATAAACTGAACAAAAAGTATCCAGAAGATATTTTCTTATATGGAGTAAAATCAGCACTTGTTAAAAGAAGCCAAACCAAAGCTCAACAAAATCTAAACAGATTTTGCTTAAGTGAGGGAGGAGAAAACCCTCAAAAGCAATAAAAAGAGAAACAGCAGAACATGAAAAATTCAGAACATAGGAAAAATGCACTTGATGCCCTACTCTGCTCGTGGTTGCTTGCTTTATGGCATTAACTACCAGTATATGTTTATCTTCCACTGCCACACACCCAATAGAAACCAGAGAGAGCACACTCCACCTTCTGTATCCAAGCAGTGGTTAATGTTTAACATGTGTTACATGCAGAATAGCTCTGCACTGCACAGCTAGACCATAAAACGCAGTATTACATACACAGCTTCCAGGAGATTGTAACATTTAATTTGTCACCAAATGAGCTTTCCCAGCAACTTGTACCCCTTAAATGACAAAGCTGCTGCAGCTGGCATATTGCTGACCAAAAACTTTCTTTGAGATGTTGCACTACAGGGGGAGATAAAAGCGACTGATTCTTTACTAGCAGTAAAGGATTACCTGTTCCTTATTCTGCCTCATCACTGGCTGACAATCCAGCAGGTCAGATTGTGGACTGATAAATTAATGCGCACCGAATGAAACAGGTGGAATAGTCAAAATAGAAGGCTCTTTCCTTAGGCATTGCATATGCATGATAGTGGTCTCAAAAGCAAAGAAATTTTTATTTTCATCGTCTTTTTCTTCTCCCCTACTTCTAGAAAAAAACCAACAGTAGCTAAAGGACAAGTTTCCCCTTTCAAAATCTGGTACCATATAAAGACAAGAAAATTATTTCGTACTGTAAAATTTTCATAGTAGATCTAATAATCTGGAATTCAATAAATCATACTCTCTCTACAGACCTTTGACTTGTGCTTATTTTCTGAAGACACAGCTAAAAACCCCAACCATAAACTAAAAATATGTTACAGTCATACCTTACTAGACAGATGGTTCAGAAGTATCAGATGTAAATGGTCTGCATAACATATCTCACAAAATGAAGTACATGGCAACAAACAGTATGCATATACTATTATATAGAGTCACTATTTTGTTGGTATGGAAGTTACTATTATTGGGAACAGTGATGTAAGAGAAGTTGCAAAATCTTGTGTTGACTTGGGGTTTTTTGTTTGTTTCTGTTGGGTTTTTGGTTTTGCTGTTTTTTTCTTGTCTTTGCTTTCTGTTTTGGTAGAGTTTCTTTTTGGTTTGTGAGTTTTTGTTTGTGTTTTTTTGTTTTGGTTTGAAACATCAATTAAAGCACTGCCAGTGTTCCTTGGAACTCAGAAGAACTTGTGTGAGCACCATGAAACCTCACAGGCAAGCACTGGGAGGGTGGGCATTAAATGTTCATCTTACAAACAAAACTACAGCTGCAACCTAAGGCAAAACTGAACTAGCATGAGGCAGGCACTTGATGAAACACAAAGACTGAATTACACTTGCAGACTGGGAACCTCCCTGATAATGAGCAATCACTGAGAGAAAGGAAAAAAAAAAAGTATCTCATGTCACTTGTCCCTGTTCCACCTAACAGTTATGCGAGCTTTGTCCACTGTTTCATTAAAGCCACTGTCAAATAAAGCCTCATATTATCTTCCCTGGGATCATGAATCACATTCAGAGAGAATTCTTATGTTAAATGAGGACTCACTGCAATATCCTACAAGGACCCCAATTGGGATGGGCATACAGCACCTTGCAGTGACAAGGTGCTGTATGCATGGCCCACATTTCAAGTAGGCTACATTTTCAGCTGCCAGAGAGTTCCCAGTCTCAAGGAATCTATGGAAATTCTTGTCAGCTAAAACATGACAAAACAAAGATTAACTTCTCTAATTAGAAACTCTTCCAGACTTGACATGGAAATAGGCAAGAGATTTTAATGTGCTTCTGGTAGACATGAAGGAAAGAGAAAATTGATCAGCCAGGGACATTTTACACCAACTAGTCTAAACAAGCTCATTAGTGTTGATCTTAGCTATTCCATAGCTGTTTGAAAGGTTTTTGCCAAAGGGCACAAAAATTGGACATACATGCCAGAAAAGTCCAATTTTAGTGCAGATACAGTGCAAGGATGCCATTGATCACTCTCAGAGCACATACAAGCAGAGCTGGAGAGCTTCTGTCCACACTTTCCCCAAACCCAAGTGCAGTTACTTGAACCCAAGTGGAGAGGCTGAAATTCTTGAGTCATATTAGAGAGCTCAGACTACAGGGCTACAAACAAACTATTAACAGATTTCAGAAACAGTTGAAGCACTGCTTGGGAAAACAACCTGTCAAATAGGCCAAGAGGTACATGAAACAGTCTGCCAGCTGACAAAATGACAACCAAAATTAAGGAAAAGAAGCTATCACCAAGAGAAAAGTCAAAGCAAATTAACTTTCCAATCAAAGCCAGTGCATCTCAAACTGAATAGTGAGTAGCAACAACAATGGGTAGGTAGGGCAGGCTTAGTTTCTGTTTTGAATTGTATTATTATGATTATGTATTGTGCAATATGTTAAATATTTTTTCAGAGCAGGCTGCTATGGTCTGATGGTCAGTGACTCCAGGTCTGAGCTTCTAGTAAATTCTAAAGGGCACCTTTGCAGCTAGCAAGTCTTATCTCCACAGGCCTGATACTGACCTGCTCTGATGGCACCAGCATTTCCTCTCCTTGGCATCTCCTGAAAACAAGAGTAGCTCAATATGGTCTGCTCAGTCCTCTTACACCTGAACTATTATTAACTCAATTTTCAAACCTAAAGCTCATTTTAAAACTTAAGGCTTTAGCTGTTGGCCATACTGCTTAGCAGTGAGAATTTGCTTTGCCTTTTAGCAGTCACCGGCAGTGCTGTCTCCAAGTGTCTCAGACAGGCTAACATGCATAAAAGCCATCTGTGCTCCTAATTAGCCTTGACTCCTGGTGCTCAGTTATCATCTGTCCTTTAACGTGCTTTCTTCTGGATAATCAAGCCTTCAGTTTCTCAAACACACTCAGCTGTACTGAAAGCCAGAACTATTTCCATAATTTTAAGCACAAAAATGCAACTGCTCTACATTCTTATAAACCCAGGGTATCCAACAGCTTCAGCCCAGTACATGTTGTTGGCCATGGCTGGGCTTGCAAAAGCTGCACTGAAAACCGTGTTATCTGTCCCAGTAGTGCTGCTACAGGCAGTATTGTCAAAGTCAGCTGCTTGTTTTCAAATTCCAGTTTGCACTCTGCCATCCAGAGAGGACACTGGCAGAGGGCACACTGCGAACCAGCCGTGACCTTGGTGCCTGTCCCACCCTCCTCTGGTGGCCTAATGAGCACATTCGGAAGAGTGGAAAAAGAGTTGAATTTTTTTTGCTTGAAATCATGCAATAAAATACTACTTTATTTTCATAAAATCAGTGCTAATTGAAGAACAGCAAGTTATTTACTAACACATCATACTTCCATGAGGCTGGCTAACTTGCTCAAGATGCAATGAAGATGTCAGGTTATTTTCTTATCAGCCAACCATTGACTTAAATTTTCAGTTCTGGCTACAAACTCACTTGAAAATGTGACACTGTTCAAATAACCATTAAGCCTCTCACCCTGTCATGGCAATAGCACCAGTACTGCTTCAGAGCCTGCTACTGCATGCAAATGATGTTTAAATGTAGTACAGACCATAGAAACAAGCAGCTTTGCTGAATGTGCCCAGAAGAAAATGCAAGTGATGACGCATGTGAACTTTTATCTGAAGGAGAACAAAATTCAGTTTAGTTCCTTTGAGAAATTAGCTGAAAGTAAGAGTGAAAATCTCCTTAACTTCCCCCTGCATAAAAAACCAAAACCAACAAAAAATGCCAAATGCATACACACACACACCAACAAGCCCTCAGCCCTTCATCAGTAGACAAAAACATCCCATTAATGGTATTTACTTATTATAACCTTGAAAGAACAAACATTTTGCTCCCAGTCATTTCTGTCAAGGCCCTA